TAAGTTGGCAAACTAGATTATAAAAAGTTGACTTTAATTATGTGAATCAGGAAAAGAACGTCTAAAGCTAGATAATGCTACCTTAATACGTGACTTAGAGTCAAGGCAAAAAGCAAGCGCTGTAACTGAGCTTAATGAAGCTGGAAAGCAGAGCTGGAGTGAAGGCAAAGCTGAAAAGTAGAGTCGGATTTAATATAGCCAAAGAGACGTTTAGTAAGCAGCTAATACTATTATGCAGTTAATGTTTGTATTTGAGGCCGCAACAATGCCAAATCAAGCCAATAATCAGTCTCGTTGCTTAATTTCGGGTCACAGTTGTTTATTTGTCAGATGTTCTTTTGCATTTAAATTGCTCTTTTGGCCGTTGTCCGTTGTCCGATGTCCGGTGTCCGTTGTCCTTTGTCCCTGTTTGCTATTTGCTATTTGCATAATCTGTGTAAGTAAATGTTTCTGAAGCAATGCAAGCTGCACATATTTCTGGCAGCAAATCCTTTTAAAACTGCTTTAATGCAGTTGGCCTTTTGTTTTGCCCCGATGCAACATGCCACAAGCAGCAGCAGCAGCATAACTGCAAACAGGACCTCAGCTCGGCTCAGCTTGTATTCGTATTTGTTGTGCCAGAGTACCCAAAGAAAATATGCAGCTTGGCATCAAAAGAAACAGCAAGAAGAAAAGCAAGGCGARACAAAACAAAATAAAAATATATACATATATATATAGAAATAAAAATGAGCACTTGTTTGTTTGTCAACAGTTTGTGCTGTGTAGTCCTTTGTGGCCAGGCTAGTTTCCTGCCTGCCTGACTGCCTAGTTGCCTGCCTGCCTGCATATGTTGTCAGCGCTAATCAAGCGCACATATGATAAACACACAACTCTATACTCTATACTATACACATATACATATACACATGTACATATATAGAAGTATGTGCGTCGCAGACAAAGGCAGGACTTGTGCAATTGTATTTGCTTAGCCAGGCTGGCGGGCTGCATTGCCTTGAGCTGTGATTCATCTCCTTCTGCGCGCATTCAGTGCATTTCTTTCAGCCTTCGTTGCCTTTCTGCACAATTTCACAGGCATTTCGGCTGTCGGCTCCTCGCGCTGCTCTCCTTATGATTGATTTATGCTAATCCAGGATCCTTGGGCAATTATGCAAATGCACACAATAAAGTTTAAAGGCATGCCAATTGCATATTGCATTAATAGGATTATGCCGTTGTTTTCTCTCTCTGGCATTTCGGTTATGAACTGAACTGAGCTGAACTGCACTGCACTATCTGGCTCGACTGCTGTCTAAACTTGAAACTAACGAATAAAGTAACATTTTATTATGTCACTATGTCACACAGATACACACAAACACTCACACACAGAGACACCAAGACAGAGTTGACATGTTGACATGTTAAAGAGCGTGTAAGTGAAGTGTGATGGAAGCTCGCAGTTACAAAAAGCCCAGAGTAGTTGCATAGAAAGCGTGAGATACACATAGTTAGGAGGGTGTATAGTGTAAGGAGAGTCTTGCTGCAGCCTCCGCATCCGCTTCTCTCTCTCTCTTTCTCTCTCTCTCTCTCTATCTCTCTCTATCTCTCTCGTCTTTGACTTGTCAGCTTTTATGGTTTACTTTTTAGTTAGTTAGCAAAAAAATATCTACACAACTTTTTCTTAGCATCGCCGTCTCGCTCTCTGTATTGCTCTCGCTATCGCTCTCACTCTTGCTGCGGCTGCGGCAGCCACTGTCTAGGTATTCTTTATGATGGAATTTTTAATGAATTTACTTTTAGTTTGGTGTCACACAGCATCTGCATACATGGAATATAGCATGAATGCCTCGGCATCATAAGCACTGACAGCTTACATATTTCCTTAGAAAATATATATGTGTATGTGTATATGTATATGTATATGTATATGTATATGTATATTAAAAACGTGCGCAAAATGAAAGGTGTAAATTTGTTTATAAAAGTTAACTTCTGCCTCACTAGCCACGTCTCGGCAGTCAGTCAGCCAACCAGTCAGCCAGCTCGCCTTTAGTATTCCTCTCCAGACTTGCCGTAGATTCACAAGATAGGACATGACGTAGCATCTATTGTCATGTGTGTGTGTGTGTGTGTGCACGTGTCTGCGCCGTGTCTTCTCAAAGTGCAAACTCACGGACGTAGGAGGCGTGGCATAGAGCACATTTGCAAATTGAATGCGACAAGTCAAGTGCTGTGAATTTAATTTCCATTCACATAAAATTTGATTAAAATGAAACAATGAAATAAATATTACATCTGAGTGTTGAAAGCCAGCCTTGGTAAAAGCAATTTCTTATTTATTTTTAAAATCTATAGAGATATATTGAAATTGTGTTAAGTTGGGCAAGGCAAAAGGTCTAATTGAATGAGACATCTAGCTGAGTGCACAAAA